TAGGATCCAGAAGCTTGGGAGCACATCAGTTCCATTCTTGGAAAGAAAAAAATACATTTACAACTAAGCAAACAGTAAAAAAGAACAAACTACCCAAACCAGATTTAAAGCACCTATGTTACAGAAAATCATTGACCATTGGGTTGAGGATCTAGCTATGCCATACTTTTGTTCAAGGCAAATAAACAAGCTGTACAATTCATTTGTCTGATAGACTTCAAAGAAAGCATATTGTTTTATGCTAGAATCTAATCCAGAAATAGTGCTTGTTAGGAGTGGAGGCAAAATTTAGGCTAAGCAGTTAGCCAAATAACAAGTTATTTATTAAATTGACCATCTTAAACTTGCAGATTACTGATATGTGCCACAAGGAGAAATATAGTCCATACCTCTTTGGAAGTTATCACTCCTAATCAAGAATTGGTACTCTTCTTTTGAGATGTACACCAATAAATTCCACTTGATAAGAAAACCAGAGCCAAGTGAATTTAAACATCAACATCCATGATGGTCAATAAAAAGACTTCATGGGGGCAACAATTAAATGAGTATGGTTCCTAATCCACATAACTATTAAACTGGCAAATCACTATGAGGTTACCCTGAAAGACTAAAAAATGTCAAATGGCTAAAAAAATGTAAAAAGTTCCAAGAGTTCAGAAATACTTCAGAAATATTTTTCTTCTTAATTAAATAATCAATTGTAAAATTATGCCATGTTTTTATAACAACTCAAGAAAAGGAAAACGCTAGTGGATTAACTGTAGTATCTTTGCATCCAATCCTAGGATGATCTTATATGCTAAAATATAAGTATATCATGTACATATTTATTCAAATGTAAATTTTCACCATATTCTGTGTGACTTTATCCTATTAAACATGTGAGAATTTCCGAGAAAGGAAATTCAAATTCATTGAAATAACTTTCAATGTTACTTAAGCTTCTAATTTCAAGATGAGCTGAAAATTCTGGAAGTTGAAATGTATATATCTGCCAATTCTCAAGGACAAGAAATTGGCATATTCAAAGTTATTTTGCAGCCCTATACATAAACACTCAAGAAATCTCAACATGCCACAGATGCACACAAGTATGTTCACTTCGAGATTCATTTACAAATGAATCTCAGAGGTCAATATGTATGAATATTAGTGACTAATTTATCAATCTAATAAACAGAAATGCACATTCATACATAAATTAGAAAAACAAAGGTAGAGTTGGAAACCAACAAGGAGAAACTTTTTGGTATTTGTAATAATGCTGCCAAGATGAAATCATTGGAGAACTAATATTTTCCTAGACCATAATGGAAACCAAAGGCATGCTTTAGATCATATTGTAACAACATAGAAAACAGATACATGAATATAACAAGAGTATCATTTTAAAATTTAGCTTAAATTTCTCCATCTCTTTAATTTTATGTGGTGGGGAGTTTGTTAATTTTAAGATGCCACAAAATTTTGTTGTGCATATTGGCAAACAGTTCTAAAATAACAAATGTGCCTTATATTTAATTTGGAAAACTATTTTTCAGATCAACATGAGGGTAGCACAAGAATACTGTTACACTTTCCATAAGCTATGCAGATTTGGGTTTGTTCTGCACGACCTATATATTTTAGCAGTCATAAAAATTGCTACCACAATTTCCTTTGAAATAGTCATAATAAATGGCAATACTTTTCTCAAATATAAATAGGGAAGAAAAGGAGATGTTGCCACCAACTACTGACAAATTGCACTCAATTTACAGCTCTATTTCCCAGATTTTGAGAAGTACCAATTGAAAACTGAACATGCAAGTTTTATCATGAAAATAAAGAAGTAGGCTATTTGTGAACTTAAATACAATAATAGACTGTTAATAGAGGGATTTGAAGTTTAATTCTGCTATTGGTTTACCTGTTAACTATGCTTTTTTCTATGTAGTACATAGATGTAGGCCAAGGTGGTCAGGTAAACAGTGTTGTAGAAATTTATAAATTGTGTGCCTTCTTTGCAAGGGGGGGGGCATTAGTATTTTTGAAATATATTTATCAGTATTCACCAAGGGGGGATACTTTATTGTTTTATTTTTTATTCACATTTTTTCTCTTTATGTAGTCTTTAGTTTTATTTTACTTTTGTATTTCTTTCCCTTTTTTGGAGTTTGTGTTTTAAAGCTTTGAATAAAACTTAAAACATTGAAGTAACAATAAAAAAAGAAAATGAAGAAATAGGGCAATAATTTATTTTGGTATAAGATGATATTCTAAGATGACATGCAGTGGGATACCTGCACATGTGGGATGTTATGACCTTCCTTCTTGTTAATGAAGCAACCTGGAGGATGTGATCCTGCTCCAATTCAGCTATCTATCCATTTTAATTCCTGAAATGTATATTTGAGCAGGATAAGCCTCATTGCTCATCGTGACTGTGCATTCCTGTAACAATTATAGCTGCCATAAAATATTTGATATTGCCAAATTTGATCTCCACATATCTAATAATATATTAATGCTTAATTTTTAGTGTTTAACTTATTCAATATATGTATTTTCCCCTTTTTAACAGGGTTACCATCCAGTCTACTGGAACTTCACCTAGATGACAACAAAATCTCTGCAATTGAACTTGAAGATTTCATTCGATATAAAAATCTTCAGAGGTAGATCTTAAGCTTTAAATGAGTTGCCAGTAGTATGCTGATAACGTTTAGTGCTGCCAATCCTGTCTATAGACGTGATAAAGCGAAAGCAGTAAAATTATCTGACTGTTTCTTAGGCTCAGTAATATTATTCAAGGGAACAAATTGAAATGAAATCCTGATAGACAGAGGTGCTGTTGCTGTATGGAAAACCAGAGGACAACTTGTTCTCGGATGAGGTTGCACCAGCTGTTAATGGGCATTTGCCCAATTATTTCTACTGCAAACTGCAACTCTTCTTATGTTATGGTCTGATCGTGGTAAACCAATTGTAATCTTCAACATGAGCTAACCTTGAAGAGTTTCAAAAGTATGGCAGCTAAAAAATGGCAGCTAACCCGTCCATAAAATTGGAATATTATTTCCATGTTGAAAGATTTGCACTTGTTGCCATTTGTTTTTAAACACAGCCCAGTGTTTTTTATTTGATCATAACTGACTTACAGTAGGCTTTATATCAACCAACCTATATTAACATTATCATGTATAACATTAATATCAGCAAGAAGACAAACTGTTTTAGAAGCTTCCCAATGGGGATATGAGAGAAAGCTTTTTTCTACTTTGCTCCTTCCCAAGGGAATATATTTAGCCTCCAGGAAAGAATTTAAGAGCTGAGTGCCTTATATAGAAAAACAAGGCAACTAAGTAATTAAATTTAAAAATTGTAGATATTATAATTCAATATTTGATGTAATATTTTGTAACAATAATTCCTTAACATTATATTAACTTATTAAGAACACTTCCAATAACTTCTATTTCTTTGAGGTCTTTTGTTTTCCTTTGATTTATATAAACGCATTTCTACATTATACTGTATTTTTGTAGTCAATTCCTTTTTTTCTTTGAACCTATGAGGGGTCAGGAAGATCTTTTCTTTCTGAAGCAGGTTAGATCTTGTGACCTCTGTTTCTATATAGATATACTGAGGAGTTTTGGCTATGTCTATAAATAATAGATGGAGAGAATGAAGTAAAAAAAAACGAGAATGCCCTTCAAGACACCTGAAAAAAATGATATATACGGCTCCACTATGGATATATTAGATTGAATTAAATTGTGTTAAAAGAGGTAAGATAACTTTAAAGGAATGTAATAAGTGCAGCTAGAAGAATGTTACAAAAGAGATGCAAGTTATATTTAACAATATTCTGACAGCCCAAAAGAATATTGGAAAGCAGTTCTTGGGAAAATAGTTTTGAGAATGAAATCCTGAAATACACCATTTTAAATAGTTTATATAGTTTTCAAGTTTTATTATAAAATATATTGTCTGAGCTATTTCAAATTTTAATTTACCACTAGGTTGGGGTTGGGAAACAACAAAATCAAGGATGTGGAAAATGGAAGTTTTGCTAATATACCAAATGTTAGAGAAATCCATCTAGAAAAAAACAAACTGAAAAAAGTACCTGTTGGTCTTCAAGAACTAAAATATCTACAGGTAATATACAACTTAATAGGCTTTTTCCCCCTTGCTTTTACTGAGACAGTTGTCAAGTTCATAACAATATCTATGGCTAGCACAAGTCAGCTGGTAACTCATTTTCTTTACTAATTGTTTCAGTTCTTTACTAAATACTTCAGTTCTTTACTAAATTTTGTATTTGTATTGTATTGATCTAGGGCCATTAATCTGCTAACCCTATCTGGCAAATACCAAACTTGTGGTAGTAAGTTTAAACGTACTGTATGGTGATTACTGAAATTTCTTTTTATCTTCTCATAGGTTGTCTTTCTTCACTCAAATAGTATTTCAAGTGTGGGAGTGAATGATTTTTGTCCAACAGAAAGAAGGCTGAAGAAAACATTATATAATGGCATAAGCTTATTCAACAATCCTGTCAAATACTGGGATATCCAACCAGCAACTTTTCGTTGTGTACTAAATAGAAACAGTGTGCAGATTGCAAATTATGGAAAATAAAATAGTACTGGCAAAGTATTATTGAAGTACTATTATTAAAACCACCATTACAAAACTTGAACTGTTAAAATCTGTAAATTATGCTGCCCAATTTCTTTACAAAACTTATACAAGATTTAATACATTAAAAACACAACACCCATTAAATTCGTTCAATTTATTGCTCTATACCTTTAATTTGTGTAATTTAGGAATCTTTCTAGAATAAATTGTTTCTTAGTACAAAATTGGGTTGTTTTGTTCACTGAGATCCACATTAGGTTCCCTTTTCTTATAGAAGTAAATAGTAAGTTTTAAAACAATTTTCAGGGATTAAATAATTTGTTATGTACTGGAAAGAACTCCTGTATAAGTATTGATCATAGCTCAACAAAAGTAAACTAAACTGGCTTTAAAAAGCTTTATAGGGCATTTTATTATTAATCTGATAATCTTATTCATTATGACACTAGACAATATTTAAATATTTATGCTAAAATTGAAAGATAAACCTAGTATCAAGCTCTTTAGCCTCAAAGGCTTTAATATTTATTCATGCAGATGTCTTGGAAGTATACACTAATTTTATAACAAAAACATATATAATCTGAATATTAACCATGTAGAAATATTTTTAAGAGAGAAATGAGTATATTCTCTGCACAGGGAGCAGAAATACACAATCTTGTATTTCCTGTAAGAGGTTAGTCCAGTTAGGTTAGAATTTTAAGATCTAAGATTAGAAAAGTATTTTATTTTGTGGTAAAATATTTTAGGCATATGGGGATCTTGATCATGTGCAGCTCATAAATAGGAGAGAAACAGAAAGAGAGAGAGAAGTTATTGTATGCAGAGAGAGTCAATGACAGTCACAGACTGTTATACCTACAAATAGTTCATTTAAATAAACTGAAAACTGCATTAAAATCATTTATTTTCCCACAAGCAGTTATAGGTATTCTGGCTAGCCTTCCCTTTACATGTGAGATAAACAGATAAATAGCTTTAAAGACAGAAAACAATAACACAAATTAATACAGAATAAAGAAAACAAAGGAAGAAAAAAGCAAGAAAAAAGCTCTTCACATGTGTTTTTACTTGATGTAAACAATACACTTTCATGACTAATTTAAGACTTTTCAACTTCTTGTCTTTTATGTATTATTAAAGCTGGATCCAATTCTTGTATATTTCTGCTTTAGTACTGTAACTTTGCTTTAGTCCAACTTGCATGTACTGTATACAAAAATTATGGTTGGTTAACTGATGATGGTACTGTATGAAAATAGCTATCTACTTCTATATTTAATGCATTGTTCATTTAAGTTAAGAGAATAGAAAAACGCTCAGTTGTTTTATTAAACAAACTGAATTAAAATTTTGTACTACTGTGATACTACTGCTTCTGTTTTAGATAACATTCACAGTATAAATCTACACATAAACTTGAATCTTAGTACTTTGATACTGGGAACATACTTTCAACAGATGTTCTATTTTACTTGTGACTCTGGTACCATTAAAACTTCTTTTCTGAAGAACTAGGATTAATGAACATAGCAAATAAAGAAGGCAATATGGAAGTTTCAGAAAAAAGAAAAAATGTGAAAGCGGACCTCCATTCTTTGAGGAAAATTATTAACTTTACTGTCTGTTTTTTAAATAATTTTTATTCAATTCAAACAAGTTCAGTAGGTCTACATTGCTAATAAGAAATACCAAGATAATTAGGGTTGTTTCATTAATTGGAAAAGTTTACTACACATATATCTATACCAAAGAAAGAGATACAAGCTACGGACTTATTCCATGAATTTTTCATATAAACAAAGGCTATCTTATAAACCAGCCCCCCACCAACCGCTAGGCCATGGCCCCACTCCTGGGCCATGGCCTGTTTGGAACCGGGTCACAGAGGGGGCAGATGAGTTCATGCATGTGCATTTACATTTGCACAAGCAGTGGGCAAGTGTGCGCACACAGCTTCATTTGTGCATGTGGCTGGTGCATGTGGCTGCCACCTGTGCAAATGGAGCTGCACATATGTACGCGCTCATCCACTGCTCATGCAGAACCATCCCATTCCCCCCGCCAGTCTGCAAAGCCAGAAATGTTGGGGAACACTGTTATAAACAATAGAACCACATATGTTAGATGTACAAGTTGATTTCAGAAGATGCAAAGGAACATGAGATTGATGGGGGGGGGGGGAGAGACTAGTAGGAGAGGCTTTCCTTTCTTTTAATAAGTACAGCTTTGATGGTATGGATCATGACAAAATATGAAACATATTAACACTAATAGCTGTGCTAGACCACCTGATTATTCTTCTGACAAATCTTTGCAATGGTTAAGTTACATTAAGAATTGAATCTGAAACATAAGAATTGAATGTGAAACAGAATGCTTCAGAAAACATAAAGGAGGAAGACAAAGATGCATACATCCCCATATATTTTACATATGCTTGATGAGACTGGAAGAATTGTAAAACAAAATAAAATGATGGCAGTTGAAATACTGATAAGTAGATGAATTCATTGCAAAAGTGAACATAGAAAATGAAAAATTCAGGATAATGGTAAATATTAATAAGAGTAATGTTTTAGTGAGTTTGCACTTGATTCCAAAGAAGTGAGGGTAATGTATGGTTTTATTTTCTTGAGGTCAACAATAAATAAATATGAGCAGTATGTTTGGAAAAACAAAGAGAATAATGTGAGGGAGGAAGATTATGATAAACTTCCATTCAATCATGAAGAATAAGGACATTTCAGTGAAAACAAAGATCAAATACTTTTAAATAACCAGTCTGGGTATAGAGAAAAAAGACAAGCAGTAGGAGTTACAGACCTAGATACAGTTACCATGGATTGTTGTTGTTGTTCAGTCACTAAGTTGTGTCTGACTCTTAGTGACCCCATGGACCATAGAACGCCAACCCCCTCCATCCTCCACTGTCACCCACAGTTCGCTCAAATTTATAAGCTGTAACAAATACCAATCAATTTATTCTACATCATATAAAATTTGACTAAACTCTTGAAACACTGATCAGCACACAGATGCTCACACAATTTGGACATGTAATGGTAGCGGGACATGGTTACGAAAAAAATGTTTTGCCATATAATTTATTTTGTCTATTGACCTGATCTTTTCCACTCATTCTACTTCCAGGTTCAGACTTCCCATTCTTTTGACATCGGGCATTCTGTTTATCTTTAAAACATGTGTTACATTGCTAATCAGAATGCTACAAACATACAGCTCTATCTGTTTGCCTATTCATCATTTTGATACAAATACAGAATTCATACCCGATGTCATCCGTCCTGTTGGCATATGCAGCAAAAGAAACTCCTGGGACATAGCTTTACTGATAAATCCATATAGGCACAATAAAAGCTAAAAACTTTTCATGCAAAAAACTACATAGTAAAATCCCACTTTTTCCACCCATCGTCCACTGTTCACCAATCCAATCTCTTTGTTTCGGGTAACAGTCTGCTCGGCTGAGAAGGCTCTAATAGTTCAACTTTGAGGTGTCGAGATTCTTCCAGGTCACATATGGGGCACATCAATTCCTCAATTCCCTGCCAGCCAATCATGCATTCCAATCATACCCCTCCCCCCTCCCTGTTGTCTGTCTGCGAGCAAAATTGCACAATGAGTCGGCCAATAACCCTAATCATTTCCTAAGTTGATTGTAGCTAGACTATTCACATTTCTTATTCTATTCTGAATTAATCTAATCTAAGTTGGAAAAGGCCATTTTTGGACATTGTGTCTAAATTCCTGCTGAGTGCAGGAATCCAAATTAAAGCATTCCAGACAGAAGGCTAACTCTGTGTAAACATATCAGATGAAAGTGAACCGAACACCTGTGTAACTGGTTCCATGGTTCATTTGAACCCAATAACTCTCCTTAAATTCTTAAACTAATTTGTTTATTGTTTCAGTTTCTAATAAAACTTTAAACTTGTTTTTATTGTCATACAACTTATTCTATTATTGCATTATAGCCCCTTAAGGTTCTGTTCCTACTTTATTCTTGGATGTATTAAATGTATTGCCCCAGCTGTGGGTAGCAGCTAGGAGAGCTAAGTGGAACCTGAAGTTTCAGATGTGATATTTCTTATTTGTAGAATTTAAGTAATATTAGTGATATATACATTATTTTATATTATAGCTTTAAAATATATAACTATTTCTGTATGTACATTATTCCTGCAAAACTTTGATTCTTGGTAAAATCAAGAATGTTAACAATGCAATTCAATTGTTTATACACTGCTAAAAAAAATAAAGGGAACACTTAAACAACACAATCTAACTCCAAGTCAATCACACTTCTGTAAAATCAAATTGTCCACTTAGGTAGCAACACTGATTGACAATCAATTTCACATGCTGTTGTGCAAATGGAATAGACAACAGGTGGAAAGCATAGGCAGTTAGCAAGACATCCCCAATAAAGGAGTGGTTCTGCAGGTGGTGACCACAGACCACTTCTCAGTTCCTATGCTTTCTGGCTGATGGTTTGGTCACTTTTTAATGCTGGTGGTGCTTTCATTCTAGTGGAAGCATGAGACGGAGTCTACAACCCACACAAGTGGCTCAGGTAGTGCAGCTTATCCAGGATGGCACATCAATGTGAGCTGTGGCAAGAAGGTTTGCTGTGTCTGTCAGCGTAGTGTCCAGAGCATGGAGGCGCTACTAGGAGACAGGCCAGTACATCAGGAGACGTGGAGGAGGCCGTAGGAGGGCAACAACCCAGCATCAGGACCGCTACCTCTGCCTTTGTGCAAGGAGGGACAGGAGGAGCACTGCCAGAGCCCTGCAAAATGACCTCCAGTGGGGCACAAATGTGCATGTGGCTGCTCAAACGGTCAGAAACAGACTCCATGAGAGTAGTATGAGGGCTCGACGTCCACAGGTGGGGGTTGTGCTTACAGCCCAACAACGTGCAGGACGTTTGGCATTTGCCAGAGAACACCAAAATTGGCAAATTCGCCACTGGTCCCCTGTGCTCTTCACAGATAAAAGCAGGTTCACACTGAGAACATGTGACAGATGTGACAGGGTCTGGAGACCCTGTGGAGAATGTTCTGCTGCCTGCAACATCCTCCAGCATGACCGTTTTGGCAGTGGGTCAGTAATGGTGTGGGTTGGCATTTCTTTAGGGGGCCGCACAGCCCTCCATGTGTTCGCCAGAGGTAGCCTGACTGCCATTAGGTACTGAGTTGAGAACCTCAGACCCTTTGTGAGACCATATGCTGGTGCGGTTGGCCCTGGGTTTCTCCTAATGCAAGACAATGCTAGACCTCATATGGCTGGAGTGTGTCAGCAGTTCCTGCAAGACGAAGGCATTGATGCTATGGACTGGCCCGCCCGTTCCCCAGACCTGAATCCAATTGAGCACATCTGGAACATCATGTCTCGCTCCATCTACCACAGACTGTCCAGGAGTTGGGGGATGCTTTAGTCCAGGTGTGGGAGGAGATCCCTCAGGAGAGGGATCCGCCACCTCATCAGGAGCATGTCCAGTCGTTGTAGGGAGGTTATACAGGCACGTGGAGGCCACACACACTACTGAGCCTCATTTTGACTTGTTTTAAGGACATTACATCAAAGTTGGATCAGCCTGTAGTATTTTTCCACTTTAATTTTGAGTGTAACTCCAAATCCAGATCTCCATGGGTTGCTAAATTTGATTTCCATTGATAATTTTTGTGTGGTTTTGTTGTCAGCACATTCAACTATATATTGAACAAAGTATTTCATAAGAACATTTCATTCATTCAGATCTAGGATGTCTTATTTTTGTGTTCCCTTTATTTTTTTGAGCAGTGTATTTTAAATATACTTTCATTCATCCATCCATCCATCCAATTTACATGGTTGCCCATCTCAACTCTGGGTGACAAACTGAATTAAAAAAATATTAACATTTTAAAAATTAAAAGTGTAGGCAGCTAAGAAACAACAACTGAAAAATGCTAATACAATCAAGTCAGTCCCTGCACACACCTGGAGCCCAGGCACAGGCACATAACCTGATCTTTAGATGGGACCTTATGAAATGCCAGCAGAATTGGGACCAACCTGATCTCCAGAGGGAGAATATTCCGAGATTGGCGCTACAGCAGTTGTCTTCTAGGCAATGCAAACCAACGTTCTTTGGCCACTGGGACCTGAAGCACTCCCATCCTCTCTGACTAGATTGGATCGTGTTCTGTCCCAGTTCACACAATTAACGCTTCAGAGGTATTTAATATGTTCATTTTATAACTAAATGCTTTAAAGCATTTCTCAAGAACCCTCAGTAAGTTTCCCCGTAACCTGCGAAACTCAAGGAAGCAACCTCTGCGATTGGATGCCTTCTATCCGAAAACTGGAGCTCGCCGGCAGAGCTTGGCTAAGAACAGCAGCCCAACACCAGAAACATGGGCAACAAAGGGATGAACAGGTAGCTCCTATGTAGAAAGGCTTGAGCATGGAATGGAGAAAGGTCCAAGCACACGGCCAACACACTTGAGAGGCTGTCAATAATTCAGCTTGATTAGTCCAGAGTTATAATGGGCAAGAACTAATCTTATTATGAAAGTCTAAGTCAACACAAAGTCCAGGAGCAAAGCTGAAATAATGAAGTCTTCCTTGAACTTGAATCAAGGTACAGGAATGAAGCAAGGAGCCAGAAACATCATACCAAAGAAAAACACCGGTTGTCTCTGAAAAACAGATGCCCAATTCTATTCCCTTAAATCACTCCCTACTTGGTGCTTCTCATTAGGAGGAATGAAGCTGCTTTCTCATGAGTAGACTCACTGACCTCCATCATGCCTCGTGGCATTCTGCTCTCCTCATCTGAGGGGCAGCAGTTATTCCTCATCCGAATCGACCTGCTGCCACTATGCCTCATTGCCTTCTCCCTCTTCTGCTTGCATGGGTGGCTGCTCATCTGAATGATCATTTTTACCCCATTTCCCAAAGTTCTTAGGTCTTCATCCCTTTCTGCTGCAAAGTTATCCAGGATTTCCTAACAGCCCAAACTTTGCTCAGTTCTGATGGCCCCAGCTTCAGGTCATTCTCCTCATCGGACCTGGTCTCCAGCAGGGACATAACAGATGAGTAGAAACAACCAGGGAGAGACAGACTTTCAAGTAAGCTGCCAGAGTCGCTTCAAAGTGGAATGGGCAGCAAACAAATTTAATAAACCTGGTTCTAATATGTGAATGGTTTAAATCATCTTGAATTGTACCTGGAGCACAATGGCAATCAATGTGGAATCATGGTGTTACATGCACCAAGTATCCAGCACCATTTACTACCTGTGTTGCCCATTGTGCACCAATTGAACCTTCCAAATACTCTTCAAGGGCAAGAGTAGTCTCATGCAGACCCTGTTGCAGTTATCCAGATGAGAAGTCATAAGGCACGAGTGACAGTGAGCAAAGCTCCTGATCCAGGAATGGATACAAGTGGTGCACAACCTGAAGGTGTGCAAAGGCCCTCTTAGCCATGGCTGCCACTTGTCCTTTTAATAGGAGCCATAAGCCCAAGAAGACCCACAGATTAATTGTGCACCAGATCTGTCTGAGACAGTTCCACCCAATCCAGGACGAAAGACAGAAACTCCCCAGCACCAGAGGATCCCAAAGCCACACAATCTTGCTTTGGTGAAGCTCACCATCCAGGCCCACATAGCCTCCAGACACTGGGCTTGGACTTCCATGGCATCACTCAGGTAGCCTTGAGTAGAAATATAAAGTTGAGTACCATCAGCATATTGATGATAGTTCACCTCAAACTTTTGGTTGACTTTACCCAACAACCTCATGAAGATGTTAAGCAAGAAGGGAGAAAGGATAGAAACCTGTGGCATCCCATGAAGTAGGGACTGATGACTCCCACCACCCCCACCCCATCCACACTGACTGGAATCAGCACATGTCATACTTACTTTGCAATTGCAATTTGAATAGTTTTGTTGCTTACTTATACAGTTTAATCAATAAATATAACCTATTTATACCAAGCTATTGTATGATAAACAAAAACCAAAAGATTTATGAATGGTGCAAAATATATCAGCTGCACAGGTTGCAATTGCTTCTCAGCAACTGAAGACATATTTCATGAAGCTTTTCCTGTGTAGTAATTAGGCCAAGGTGGCCCCCTTGAGGACATCATTAGTTAAACAGGCTAGGCTAGACTAGGCTGTGAAGAGAACCAGATAGTTTTTGTTCTTCGCTATTCCAAAACTCAGGAATGGATTTCCTCCAAATCTATCCCAACTTTCATTTTCTCTATTTTTAAAAAAGATATTAACTCATAATTCTTTCATTTGATCTTCCCAATTGTTGTCAGTATTGTGTGTTTCATTGTTCTCTTACTGGCACTTGTAGCTTATTGTATTTTTAAATATGAATCTAAAATCACTGTTTATCAGAGATTTAGAATCAAATGTTAAAAAAATTTCTGCATTTGGGCATCTTTCAAATTAGCACATCTAACACATAAACAAGAGATCTGTTTATACACAACTGTGTATTAATTTTAAAATGAAGACTTTGTTTTTTCATCCTTACTTAAAAGAAGGATCATGGCCTATTTGACACACATCAAATGTATCTCTCTCATCATCATGGCCTATTTGACACACATCAAATGTATCTCTCATATATCCAGTGCTTCTTTATCCACAACTACAATAACCATCAGGAGGCACTACATAACTGATTTCATCCTTATTTGGTGATATACACAGCCAGATCATGCTCATATTCAAGGAAAGATGGAGTCTATGTACCATTCTAATAGATTTTATAGCCATTCCTGGCTAGCTCCTAAATTTAATTCCCAGTAAGATCTAACTTTGTACAACTGATGATTCCTAATAAAGGAGCCTGGTCACATATTGCCTCATGGAAAATAATGTAAGCACAAATGCCTATAGAATATATACTGTGTAGAAATGGAAAAAAGCATGTACAACCTTTTATTAGGGACATGACATAATGTAACATCTGTATCTCCTCTGTGTCTGAGATTAAGAGAAGGTAAACTCCATATACTATTCTGATAGCCTCTTTCCCCGTATATCTTGTGAATTCCCTCCTGTCAGGTAAATGTGCTTTTTCTGCATTGAGTTATTTCATGTAATAGCATTACATAACAGAAGAATAATTATAGGAACATATTTACTACATTACAACAGTTTTAAAAGAAATCAATATATATTTAACTAATATCTCAATACAATTGCACATATAAACACACACATACATACGCGCACATAGATTCATACATAGACTGAATGATACATTATTGCTCCAGGACTGATTGACAATAAACAGAAATATCACCATTTAGTCCTCAAAAGTGATTTAGAGTGGTTGGGCTCATTTTAATAAATCTATTTCTGCTGTCACGGTAGTTTTTAAAAAAATGGAAAACTAATTATTAGGGGGGGGGGGGGGGGGGGGGGGGGGGGAGTCAAAATACTTTGGGAAGAAGTATGCAATATTACAGCCTAGAGATTAGGCACTAATCCAAGCTGTAAAGGATGAGAAAAAGTCTGTTTAACTAGATAGTGTGATTTCTTATATTTGCACAATTTCTAGTTAAACAGAATTTAACTAGAAACTTTATTATATTTGCAGAAATATTCTGTGAGATCAGCAAAGCAGGATTATGAGATAACAAGCAACATGTGGTATAGAAAGTTATTGGTTTCCTATCCCCCTTCTATAGAAAATAATTTGTCTGTGTACATCAAGCACCGTTTGGAAGTCAAGACATTTTATACTGTTCTTGTGCAATATATAATCTCTTTAAAGTTAAAGCAAAGGCAAGGAAAACTCATAGGATGAACAAAGTATCACTGTTATCAGTAACATTAGAATGTGTCCTAGAATAATAAACATTCCAATGTTTATTCCAATCTGCAATGCAGATGGGCATCAAGCTTCTGGTTAAACACTTCCACCATTTCCTTCGGTAATCTGTTTCATTGTTGAACAACTCTTTATCATTAGGAAATTTATCCTGATATCCAACCAACTTCTTCTTCCTTGAATTTTAAACCATTTTAATCTGCATTTTATTTTATTTTTGTTACTGAGTGGTACCAAAGGATGGCAGTATAAATCTGTTATATCAAAAGCCTTTTAAAAAGTGTAAGGAATGGACTGTAGATGATAACTTTCAGTAAGATGGGAGATACATCTTACACACCGAGAGAAAGAAATATGTATTGGGTTATTTCAAAACATACTTACATATTTAGAATACAGCTAGGTCAGTGATGGCAAACCTTTTGGGCACTGAGGTAGATTCTAGGGAATGGCTATATCCAAAATGCAAGGTGCGATGCCCGTGCATGCTCCCCGCCCCCAAGCATGCTCCCTGCACACATGCACGGAGAGACCCAAAGGTCAGCTGGCCAGTGGAAGGCACATGAGCATGCACAGTGGAGCTGAGCTGGGGAAATGGCGTGCGTGCCCACAGAGAGGCCTCTGCATGCCACTTGTGGCACGCATGCCATAGGTTTGCCACCACTGATCTAGGTATTGACCCTGGCTAATATGAAGATGCTTCTGATAATCTTGTATCTTAGATTCTATATAGCAGTGGCTGAAGGTAACTAGATGCTAGAAGTTTGCTCTAACTTTCAAATATATTTAGTATGGAACAAGGCTTTCTGAATATAGCGTTGTTTTTCTTGTTTTGGCACAAAAAAAGGGCATTATCGTATTAGATTTACGTTAGAAAACAACATGCCCTCAATTGTTCAGATCACATTTTTAGGAGAGAAATATATGTTCAATAAAGTTTCAGAATTTGTAATTCTTTTAACAATGAAAATATGTTTTCTTTCAAAAGCAATTATGTAATTCAATAATTCTCCAGTGATATATCACTTAGTCATTGCCTTGACAATTGGAGATTCTGCTGCGCTAAAAAATATACATGTTTAAAAATGCAAGAGAATGAAGATTGGAAGATTGTTCATTATATTCTAAACTGAATTTATTTATGGTCTCATACCAATAAAACATCAATACAGAATTTAAAATGCAAAAATACCAATAAAAGACAATTTATTGAGTAAGGGAATTTGAAGCTGAGTATGGGACATGGAGTGCGATTTTCAGAAACTTGGGATTGCTTCTAAAATAGGAACATCTATCAGGCCAGGGCCAAAAACGATGTAGAACTATTCACCAGTGTCTGTTCTTTATTTGCTTACGCACAATAGACAGAATCTTACCAGACTAAACCCTAATTACTCTATCAAATATACTCTGGTATTTCTAGGGAATGGCTATTCTAACTTTCTTCCTCTTCCATCCAAATCCAGGCAATGCTGCCTCTTTTTCCCTTCACCCTTTCTGGAATCTGGGAAACTGCCATTTAACTGTAATCCATCAGATCAGCTCCCATAGACATCATCTCTCCCTTTTGCATTATACATTGGTGTTTTGTTTTTGTTTTAGGAATATAATTATTGCCATATTTTAAGATTTCATTAGAAACTTTTTTGAACTCTGGAGAAGCTTCCAGTGGGCAGACAGATGTCTTGCAGATAATGGGAGATATTATGACTGAAAGGCAGGTAGATGGTGGATCCAGACTGCCAAAAACTCTTCCTGGAACATGTAAAGATATTGAGATCACCATATATACTCCAGGTAGCTGTTCTTATGTGTGTGTAAGTAGATGACAAAAACTGACTTTTCACAGTCTCTTTACAGCTGGGTGTCACGGGATTCCACCAAGCTCAGAGCTGCTAATGTAGCCTTTTATGGACTTAAGGCTCAACTAAACTTCAATTTTTTAGTCATTTTGGATATACTGGTCTTTGACCTTGATAAAGATTTGATTAATCAGTTTGGGGTTTATTTTTCTTTTGTTTTTTTTGTCTTGTTAAAAGACTGAAAACCTCCAGAACCTCAAATCTGGTTATATTTTCTAGATGAAGGGATCCCTTCAATACATTTAGAAACAAAATTGTGTTTAAAATTTTTAAGAACAGTCTCTGGAATATATAGTAAGGGATAATTATAGCATTAATTTTAGAAAATTTTAAATGAATTAAGAGCTCAGATAGATGTCAATTGAAGAAAGGCTTTTAAGTTAAATTAAAATAATCCTTTCTTGTGGAAAATGTCTATACATACAGTGATATCTTGGTACTCAACTGCTTTGAAACTAATTGAATTTGGTACTCAATGCATTTTGACTTGAAAATTTTGTCCCAATTTTGCCCCAAATTTTGTCAGTCAATTTGGTACTCAATGCACAACCTAGAACTTCTCGGTGTTGGCTGCCTTGTGACTCACTGTATTTTTCCGCATGGGAAAAAATGGTACTTATTGTTTTTGGTACTCATCATACCTCCTGGAACCAATTAATGATAAGCATTGAGGTGCCACAGTGTATAATAATGAGATAACTTTGAAGGCTGGACATTAGATGATCCTAGAAGGAAATAAAAGATTGTTACTTTAAATAAAAATTTGGGGCTAAAGATGTGTGACCACCTAAATACCTGAAATATTTGACCTGTGCAATTGTTCTAAGGAATTAAACTTGTAGGCATTGCACAGCTGTTGTTTAAGTCTCTCTATCATAACTCAAATGTTGAAATGGAGATAGAAATAGCCACAAAGGTTATTGGATCTAATTACTTGCTGAAATTCAAATTAAAGCACCCCCACAGAGTGCTATCTAGTCTCCAGTGAACTTGAATACATGCACTGAAAGAAAGTTCACCATATCTTTAATAATTGGTTCCATTGTGGAACTGATCATACCGTTAAGGAAGTTAACCATCAAAATATAGATAAAGTTACTCTGGAAAGATTTGTACTTGATAAATCCATTCTAATGTCTTGTAATTATTGCATCCTTTTCAAGGTGCTTAAAAATTAACCATTCAAAATAATTGAGTATTTTCTATCAATTTCAATGATGGTGCTAAAGGGATTACCCATGTGAAGCATACTCTTTTCAAAACAAACAGTGAGAAACTTCACTTTTCTTACTTACCTTTTAAGCATTCTACTGGCTTTATTCAGCACCTAGGGCTGCTTTTTGTGATTATTTTAAGCATAACTTTAAAAACTAAAATTGGAATTAAATTGAACAAAATTAGTGTGGCAGAAAATTTAAAATAAGAAAACAATTTGACACTCCTTAAAGTTATTTAAAGTCCACCCCCCATTTCTAGGCTATATATATGCAACACTTCTATTTAATAATTTAATAGTAATACCCAATTTTATCAAAGTTCTTCTTAAAATGCATTGACTATACTTTTTGATTTCACATAGGCCTGTGTATTTTTTAAAATATCATCACATCATTGACTTGTGTTCACCTTATAATCCACCAAGACCCAGAGATCCTTTTGGCATATACTGCTGCGCAGTATGATTCTCTCCCCCTTGATTTTTCCTATAGGATACTGCACAGGAGCCTCTGTGGCGCAGTGGTTAGGATGCAGTACTGCAAGTTACTTCTGCTGCAGCCAGCTGCCTAGAATTTGGCAGTTCAAATCCCTCCCACCAGGCTCAAGGTTGACTTAGGCTTCCATCCTTCCGAGGTGGGTAAAATGAGGACCCAAAGTACTGGGGGCAATATGCTGACTCTGTAAACCGCTTAGAGAGGGCTGTAAAGCACTATAAAGCAGTATATAAGTGTAAGTGCTATTGCTCTTTGCCCTATTGAAATCTATGTTGCTGGTTTTTGCCATTCATTCATTCATTCATTCATTCATTCATTCATTCATATATTTATCGTATGACATATCATATATGGATTAGTAATATATGTTAACATAAACACAATAAAATATAAGTTTATTTATATAAATATAAATACATAAATATTCTGTCCCTTGATCCAACAGGTCAAGATCTTCCTAAATTTTGATTCAATTTCTTATTATTTGCTTTCTGGGGACAGAGTATTACATAGGACAGGGGCTGCCACAGAAAAGGAACACTTCCTAGCTCTCATCAGATGGCAATATTTAAGGGACAAGGCTAGGAGCATGATCTGGTCAGGTTGATATATGTCCTTAGTGAAAGGCAGTTCAACAGATAACCTGGTCCTGTGCCATAAATGGTTTTAAAGGTAATAACCATCGCTTTGAATTACACCCAGAAAGAAACTGAAAATCAGTACAGCTTGCTCAACAAAGTTATTACATGGGCAAACCTAGGGCTCCTCTTTCCTGTGTGTGTTGCTGCATTCTGAACCAGTTGAAGTTTCTGGATGGTTTTGAAGGACAGCCCTATGTAGAATGCATTGCAATAATCCAAATGGGAAGTGACCAAAGCATGAGTGACCATGTGCAAGGGCTCCTGATCAAAGAAATTATTATGGGTTTATACAGTTTAATACAGCAATTTCTATTCTTTAAAGAAGCAAAACTTCAGTTATGTAAAGACGTATGGCTCTTAGATGGTCACACGTAAGTAGCATGATACCAAATCATCTGCTACCAATGTGGGTAGTCCTCATTTAAGAATGGTAATTGGGACTGGCAATTCATTTGCTAAGCAATGCTGTTGTAAAGCACAATATCACATGACAGCGCCAACTTGCAACAGCAGCTCTAGCAGTTCCAGTGGCTGTTATTAGGTGATTCCCTGGGATTGACTCTGCTTGTTGGACACTGGAAGTGAAGATTGCAAATGATGATCTTCTAACCGCAGGATGCTGCGAAGTCATAACTGCAAGCCAGTTTAGCCTGCTTAGAGCTGTAATCCAGTACTCCCTTAGCAGAAAATAAGTTTAACTGATCTGAGTGATGTTCACATTTGACTGCATGTGAAACTTGCTATTTTATTATTTGTTCATGCTTTTGTAATTTATGCAAATATTAAACAACTCTCATTCAAAATTTAAATTGAAGTCTGAGTAAAATTTTATAGAAAATGACTGTCAAATTCAGGAACAATTACTGAACGCACTTTCATACTTACGGTATTTCTATCTATATTACATACACATTGTAAAACATTAAAGTTACTCAATGAAAATATACAGAGAACTCTTTTTGCACTCACTCCTATTCAGTAAAGTTTGAATCTGTTTTTTATTTGTTTCTGGAGAGACTTGAGGTCTGAGAACAAAGCTACTAACAGGAAACATATGGAAAAGTTCTACAATAAGTGAACAACTGACTTCAACTCCAAATGCCACGTATCACATTCCAGTGTTTCAACCAATCTAGAAAAAAGCTTGTAGCACTTACTTTATAAATTTAATCAGTTGCTAAATGAACTTTAAAAAGTTAGCAAATATAAACAAGGGAAAACATAAATAGATTGTTAGCCAACATAGCTAATGAGTTTGTTCAGATATTAAATTAATTAGGTGGCTAATTATTTCAAAAAACTACCTCAACAGCATATGCTGCCAGGAAAGATACTTGCTGTAGCTTGTTTATAAAATGAGAATATTTTAGTACAGATGTAAGTTAAGAGTTATTAACTATAAAATTGCTAGGAGCCATCAAAAAACAAGCTACTATTCCCTAGACCTTATGACACATTAATACACAATGCAAGTTTTAGAACACTTCAATAGCACGTATAGAGCTTGTGTGTAAATGTAACAACTTCTGATTTAGTATTGCAAATGTTCAGCATTAAAAATGAGGTCACAAATATTGGTTTGCCTCACCCCCAGCCAATTTTGTATTCACTGTCCTTGTGAAGAACCATATTATACTTTTATTTGTGAGTGTATCCCATGTCTAAGGAATGTTCAGAATCCTCGGTGGCCAAGTGGAATAGTGGGAACGAATTATTGTTTTCTTTTCTTCCTGTAAGGAATAGGACTCTGCTAGAAAAGTTCCGGTTTTCTGGTTTTCTTAATTTCAGGGGAAAATAACTTTATCAGAATTCTCTCAAAAATAAAAGTGATAAAAACTTCCAGCATGGACAGAAGGGATGCCTCCATTAATACAGTTCCAGAAAAAGGTGCATAGTTAATGAAGAATCTCAATCATCATAAAAAAAAATACTGATAGCAATGCAGTTGTGAAATATTGGGAACACATACAAAACAAAGTATTTGTTCCTGATGCAGCTGGTTTTTCTCAAATAGGATAATTCAGAGGTTTTGATTATTTTCTCCATGAATATAATATAGAACAGAATAGAATAGAATTCTTCATTGGCCAAGTGTGATTGGATTCACAAGGAATTTGTCTTTGGTCCACATGCTCTCAGTGTACATAAAGGAAAAAATACATTCATCAAGAATCATAAGATACAATACTTAGTGATAGTCATAGGTTACTAATAAGCAATCAAATCATACTAGGAAACAAATAAAACAATATAAATTGTAAAGATACAAGCAACACGGTTAGTAGAGAAATAATAGTAATACAGTAAATAAGTTGACAGTGTTGTGGGAATTAGTTGTTTAGCAGAGTGATGGCATTCGGGGGAAAAACTGTCCTTGTGTCTAGTTGTTCTGGTGTGCAAGTGTCCTATAACATGAAAGTTGTTTAGTTCAATTAAAATAAATGAAGTTAATTAGATTAATTTAATGCATTTGTTTAAAATTAGTGAATTTTCAAATTATTTTGTTTAGAAAAAAGAATAGTAAGCCACTGATTGTAATCTTTAATTTATAAAAATGTGATTAAATGCTTGATGTTTCAATTCACTTTTACTCAAACATGCTGAATTATTGTTTTGCATTTTCTTACTCTTCACCATATGCAGGAATGCCAAGAGTCATAACAGAATTGGCTCCTTTAACTAACCAGGAAAAAAAGTCCACGTTTGTTTTTCTATTTTGCAGCCTAACTACAAATTACGACTCCAAGAAGGCCACTCTACAGCAGCTCAGATTGTAACAAATGCAAAACTAAATCTGTTAAGGTACCTCCCTGCTTTTTCTGCAGTTAGCTTGTGGGCCCAGTTTATATTAACCTCATTCATCTTCCCTCCTAACAGAAGAATGCACACAAATGTTCTTTATGTTTGCCTCCCATGGCTAAATTATCCCAGAAATATTCATCAACAAACAACAAATCATTCAGAGCTGAATTATTGCCAAGTCTCACATTCTCTCCTTTTGTGGCTGTTTGCTTGCCTTTTATATCCTATTCTGCTTATATTGAAGGAGATGCTAAATGGTTTGCTTTGGAAATGTTCTGAGTTCAAACCATTCATTATGACTGTTTTAGGCATGAAATAAAACTTGGCTCTTTGGAAGGCATTGTTTTCAGAATTCTAACTTTCTGAGACAGTGCAACTGGTCTTGTTTTGCAACATGACTGGATTTCCCCCCAAAAACTCTTTCCAGCCTAGAAGTTCAGTATAACTCATTTCCCTACTGCTTCTGGTTTAGATTCGAGTAGAAGTAGAAGAAAGAAATAATTAAGCAAATGGTAGATAGAAGGCAACTGCTTGCAGTGGCATAATTGCCGATCTGTCTCAAAAGCTACTTTTAAAACCTTTCACTTAAATCAAGGATGTCGAACTCATGTCCTCACGGTGGCATCACGTGACATATCGGGACTTTCCCCCCCTTCACTAAACTGGGCGTGGGCATGGTCAGTACATGACGCATCTGGTCTGCAGGTCGAGAGTTTGACATGATGGGTAAGTTATATGATGTTTGTGCTTTATTTGTGCTTTATTTTATTCTACAGAAAGCTCATACAATAGTGTTTGTATTCATACATACTAGTTTATTTGATACACAATCATTGCTAAAGCAACCTATGTTATATAAATGTAAACAAATAATAGAAAAAAGCAATTAATAGAAAGCTGATTTGTGGAACCTTTATATGTGTATTCTGTGCAGGCTCTGAAATGTTTGCTTATACCTGCAGCCAGTAACTGTTACTATGTGTAAACAAAATAATTAGGAAAGAACACATTATTTTTGTATGGCTTGCAACTGAAAGTCAGGTGTTTGTGAGTGGAATCATTAACTAGCAGGTTAAAATATTGTGGGATTTTCAAATGCAAACTGAAAAAATCTTGGCTTATAACACAAATTTAATTGTGGTTGGAAAGAAGAAAAATGGATAAGCCATGTGGCAATATCAGGAGATAGTAGAATAGAAAACAGAAAGCTGGAGAAGTGTCAAGATCTGAAAACTGAAGTTGAAAGATTATGGCATAAACCAGTTGTGGTGATCTCCAAAGTTACTAGCACATGGGGTACTATACCAAAAATCTTGGATAGCATTTAGAAAATCTGTGCATTCCATCTATCAATTACAAAAAACTCACATTGCTTGCATCCACACCTACTAGATAGTATTTCTTGAACACCATCCTGCAGCAATAGTGTCAACACCATCAGCAATAACATCTGTCTCTCCCAAGTTCTTGGGAAGAGCTCAACAGGTGGACAAAAAGCCAAGTCCAGTCTAAATAATAATAATAATAATAATAATAATAATAATAATAATAATAATAATAATAATAATAA